ATGGTGGGTCACCCATACACATGCTGAAACAATAAGTAGTCAGAGGATTTGTGGAGAAAAAATTGGACAGACTGTTTGGATCACTGACTTGGACATCAGCTTCTCTAATGCTTCAGTCACAACATCTTCAAGATTGCTTCAGACCACAGTTTGTTCATGCTCGATTGCACTCCAAGTAGACGTGGTCATTTCACGAGTCTCGGCCCGGCCCGCCGAGTCAGCGGGCCTCGAATTGATGGCCCTTAACCGGCCTGGGAATTTGTATGGACCGGCCCTGAACCATCGGTTTTCGGCCGGTTCGGCCCATATAAAAAAAAAACAAGCGTGGCCCGTCTTTTAACCCACGGCCCAGCCCGGACCATCGGAACTGAAAAAAAAAACTTAAAACTTGAATTGGCCCTCATGGCTAAGGTTTCGGTTCAACAAACCAGCAAAATTCGCGCCAGTTGCGGGCCGGACCGTTAGGCCCGTGGCCATGTCTAACTCTAGGGCACATCTATAGGAAAAAGAGGTTTATATTTGATATAATATGGCTGCAAAAATTTGGCCTGAAAGAGATAGTGGAGAAAGGATGGATCAAGGAGCATGAAGAAACACCTATGTACATTTTTTTTAATGGAATTTACAAAAACCCACAAACTCAACCAGCACAAAGACTCAAAATTGCAAACAAAAACACGAGTTGCATGCCTTTGGAGAATCCTCACTCCACCGAAGCTGTTAGTTAGCAAATGCATGAAGGACAAATATTTCCCAAAGGACAATGTCAAGCACAAACATGTTCTTGGCTCTGACACAGCTACTACAAAGTCGGAGATTCTTTCATTACGGGACTCAGATATGAGGTGAAGGATGGGACAAAATTCAAAATTTATGAACACCCTTGGATCCCTGAGCTACCTGGATTCAAACATCATAGGGAGCCCCACTCAAACTCTGACATTCTCAAGGTGAGTGATCTGATAGATGAGACTAGAAGGCACTGAAAGATGAATATCCTCTAAGACATTTTCACTGAACATGAACAAGCTGCTATTCTGAAAATCAGAAGTCTTAACTCGGGAGAAGAGGACAAACTTGTGTGGCACTATGGCAAAAAAGAAAAGCATTCAGTGGCAACTTCTTATGATTACTTGGTTATTGAGAAATGGAAGCTAAGAAAATAAAAACATCGATTGGATATATGAATTTTTTTATTTTCTTCTCATTCTCAAAGATTATATTATTGGAACTACGAAAATAATCATAAAAAAGTATCATAAAAATACTATTTATTTCATCCCACCTTTTTATCAACAAGTAACACAATTAAAACATAATAAATTCATATTATGTTATACACTAGTACGAATTCCGTGCAATGCATATTAAACTGGATGATTATAAATAATTATTGTTTCATTAATTGGATGGTTTTGTTTTTATATTGTTTCATATTGTTTCATTAATGAAACAATAAAATATTCCGTGCGATGCATATTAATCATCCAACTAGTACAATGCCCGTGCATTACACGAGTGCTTGCTAATTTTTTTCTTTCTTAAAATCTAAAATTAATGAGAAAAAGTAGTTGAAAATTTAAATACATTTTATAAAAATATATATATTATTATAGATTTAGTATGACACTTTTATTTGTGCGACTTACACGTGTTATATTATAATAATTTTTTTAACTTACAACATATAACTACATTAAACATAAATATATCAATTGAGAAATAATTTCATTTTTCTAAGGAATTTTAATAAATATTATTATATTTTATTATTATAAAGATAAATATAATTTATTTATTTCATATATACAATATGGATGTCAAATCGAAGATCATGAAAAGATGATTAATTTGATATATTATATATGTAAAACCGATAAGAAATACAAAAGTTATCAACTTTTTAAATACATTTACAATTCAATAGCTAATCGAATGAAACAAATCAAAAGATTCAATAGCTAATTGAAGGAAACAAATCAAAAGTAGGGATATATTAGTCACTTAGTGTCTCACTATGTAAAATTACAAAAAATTAAAGGGTTATATTAGTACAAGTAATATTAAAATACCTAAGTTAGCTAATTAATATTTATGGAATGTCCGAACCTAGATTATTAATTATTAATATATCAATATTAT